CGAGTTTTGTCTTCACTGAAGTTCTCAAACCCCCCGATCCCGTGCTCATGTTCCGTTGGCCATTAGCTCCAGGAGCCCGAGCTCCCAAGCGCTAAACAAAAAAAGATGGATGAGATATTTTCTTATCCGTTGTCATTTGATGATTGTGTGTACATACAACATGCCTTCTCTCTCTCTCTCTCTCTCTCTCTCTTTCAAATGTACATGTCAGTTGTCGTTTCTTTTCCTCTTTCCTCAACTTTTTTCGTTGATTTTTGTTGCGCTGGACACAAGAAGACGCCCTGATTACTTCCTTTTGAGCAAAAAATTGATTGGCGGCTATTTTTTGTTGTTGTTGTTGTTCGGCGGCCTTTAGTATAATTGAGAAGAGCTCCCGCCGGTGCTCCGTCGACCACTTTTACCCCCAAAAAATCGCTTATTTACCTCTCTCTGTCTCTCAGCCGTTTTTTCTCGTTTTCTGCCCCAAAAATGGCGGACATTTTCCGATTTTTAACGATTCCCACGGTTAGTCCCCCCCCCCCCTCCTCCAAACTTTTCTTCTTCTTTTATTCTACGCCGCCTACGCATACGCTTTTTCACACACCTTCTTTTTCCACTAATCAAACGTACGCAAGACCATTTTTCGATGCATTTTGAACAAAATGAATCCAATCTTTCGCGAGAATGTGTTCCTCCGATTCCAATTAGACCTCCTTTTCTCATTTCGGATTCAGAAGGGCACCCCCTGTCATTCTTCACCTTCAGTTCTTGCCGCCACCAAAAAAGGCGACTAACCGGGGGAAAAATCCGCTAAATTCCGCAGAACCAAGGCCGCCACACAGCATTTTCTCATCAATTTTCGGGTCAACACTTGGGGGGCGGGATGGCGAAAAGATGGACAGTTTCAGATAATGCGCAAAAAAAGGTTAGATAAAGTTATTGTAGGGAGCGGTAAACATCTTTTTGGCAGAAATCCAAAATGTCCGAATGATTTTGCCCAACTTCTCGATTTCCCATCCCGAAATGAGCAAAACGTTGTGTGGTCCCCCAGTGCTCCAAATCTCAGCTCCAGAACAGATAATTATGCCCACTTTCTTGCTCCGTGAGCCCATAAATCTGGCCGCCCATAAGCTATTTCCATTAGTGTTCCTCCCCTCTTTTCGTTTCACCTGAAGGGGTCCGGGTCTCGACGGGAAATTAGAAAGTTCGTATTAATATTCATGATTTATTTGCATACACATATCCGAGTATCCAAAGCCTGAATAGCAGCTATAGGAAAACATGGCGAACATTCTTATCATAATCATTATTACTACAATATCCGCATTTCGCTTAAAAATGTTGGTCTACAATAGCGGAACTTGTTCTGGGGGAGGCCGGTGTAAAACACGCGAATGTAGACCGAACCAATCCAATTTTTTTCTCTGATGCGATTTCCTTCTATTTTAGCCCATATTATAGGATTCCGCACATGATATAATTGTCAGTATGTACAATAGCGGATTTGTAAAGACAAAAAAGGAAAGGTGTCGGCGGGCGGTGGATTAAATTTGGATAAACTTATATAATAGTTGTAGTACAAATATCATGTCAACTTTTTGCGTGTTGGTCACACCTGTTCCCGACAAGTTCACCCTATCATTACCCCCCATTCGTGTCTTTATGGTCACTTACACTTGCACTTTTGAAAAAACTGAAAAAAATGTTCACCACGTCCCCTCATTTCTCCCAAACAAAAAGTTTCATCGCGGATACTGTTCGTTTCCGAAAAACCAACAAAACGCTGCACGCATTTGGAAAAAGACCCATAAAAAAGCGCAGCAGAAAAGGTGTTAGGCCATCCATTTTTATCGGTCCTTCCGCTCTCACTCTCTCTCTCTCTTCCTCTCAGAGGTGGCCATTTTAATGCGCACTTTGTTTGGGTTGATTTGTGTGAAGCAAAAGGTGTTCTCCTCGCGCCTCATTCTCACGCCCAAGCCTCATCAATTCTGCCGCCTGCGCCTCTATTATCCGACCACGTTTTTTTCTTTTGGTATCGCCCCCGAACATCTTTACGATAAGAGCGGTGGTGGAACGAGGAAGAGGAAAAGGGAGTGGCTCTGGGTACGGATATTGTTGGATTCTGGTATGTTGCCACGTCACTGCCCCTGTTCTCCTACCTAAAACGTCTTATTCTCTCAAATGGTAACCTTGTAATAATTTTCCCTAACTTTCCCGTGTTCTCCAGGCAATTTCCGTTATTTTAAGCGTAAGTGGGAATCTGTGTTATTTTTTGGAACAGATATGCATTTTTGAATTTTTCACTTCATTGACAGGTTTGAGCTTGGCGCTGCATAATCTGCAAACTACACCTTTTGGGCGCTGCTATCGCGAATTTAGGGCTGCTTACACTACAAACTACACCTTTTGGGCGCTGCTCTCGTGAATTCAGGGCTGCTCTCGTGAATTTAGGGCTGCTTAGACTATAAACTACACTTTTGGGCGCTGCTATCGTGAATTTAGGGCTGCTTACACTACAAACTATGCAAACTTGGGCGCTGCTATCGTGAATTTAGGGCTGCTTAGACTATAAACTACACCTTTTGGGCGCTGCTCTCGTGAATTTAGGGCTGCTTAGACCATAAACTACACTTTTGGGCGCTGCTACCGCGAATTTAGGGCTGCTTACACTACAAACTATACAAATTTGGGCGCTGCTATCGTGAATTTAGGGCTGCTTAGACTATAAACTACACTTTTGGGCGCTGCTATCGTGAATTTAGGGCTGCTTACACTACAAACTATACCTTTTGGGCGCTGCTATCGTGAATTTAGGGCTGCTTACACTACAAACTACACCTTTTGGGCGCTGCTCTCGTGAATTCAGGGCTGCTCTAGTGAATTTAGGGCTGCTTAGACCATAAACTACACTTTTGGGCGCTGCTATCGTGAATTTAGGGCTGCTTAGACTAAAAACTACACTTTTGGGCGCTGCTATCGTGAATTTAGGGCTGCTTAGACTAAAAACTACACTTTTGGGCGCTGCTATCGTGAATTTAGGGCTGCTTACACTACAAACTATACCTTTTGGGCGCTGCTATCGTGAATTTTGGGCTGCTTAGACTATAAACTACACTTTTGGGCGCTGCTATCGTGAATTTAGGGCTGCTTACACTACAAACTACACCTTTTGGGCGCTGCTATCGTGAATTTAAGGCTGCTTACACTACAAACTATACCTTTTGGGCGCTGCTATCGTGAATTTTGGGGTTGACTCTAAAAACTAGAAGAAAAGAATCACGATGATTTTCCAACACTGAAACTTGGAAATGTGTAACAGACGGCCCTCCAACCCAATGGAACCCTGTAATTTTCTAATTTTATCCAAAACCAAGAAAAGAACCGCCACACTTAGTCCATATTAGTGTGTGTCGGAGTGTGTGACAGCCGACCCTCTAATTATTTCCACTAAGGACCGCCCGACTAAGACGTTCTCAGACTGCTTCGGACCGATGCACCATAGAGTGTCGGTTCCCAAAGTAAATTGAAACTGTGAATTAGGGTTAGAAATCACAAGAAAACCTAAGTCATCAAAAACTTGAAACATGAAGTTTTGAAACTAAATTTAAATGCAACCTTGACAAAGCGGACCCCAATCGAATTACCGTACAATAACAAAAAGCAAAATTGTCAAGGTTCTTCTGCTTGTTCCTCTCTCACACCAACTTGCCCACCTTCTCGCCCGTTTCCGTCTGTCGCCCCAAAGTGTAATGTTTATTTATTTATACCCCCGTTTCCACTAAGCTCATACTGACTGGGTGGTGTCTTTATTTGACAGGCCTTTCCCTTATTCTTCTTCTTCTCCTTTTCCATCCACACTACCTTTTTCGTATTATTTGTAGGATTCTACAGTTCTAAACCATTTTTTTCCTTTACTGTTTCCCACTAGGTTCTCGGGGATATTTCAAGTTTTTCGCATTCTATCTTCGACCAGGTGTGTTGCCACGTCATCATCGGAATGACGTGGCAAGTGCCCGTGTACCCTCGGAACCTTCTCGAAAAGCTCTCACACTCACTCAAACACAAACTATGTCAGTGTGTTGGTTGTTTAATAATTTCTTCTTCTCCGGCCGCTTTTCGTTTTCGTTTCGCCCTGCGGGGCTGTGGTCCCCGATGGATGATGATGATGATGATGATGATGATCGGAGCGGAGCCACCGAGCAGCGGCGGCACCCAAGCTCATTATTATTTCTGCGAAAACCATCGGGATTTTATGATGGGATAGTGAACTATTATTGTCATAGGGAAGGCGCACACTTTTCTTTGTCTTCAAGATTCCGACATTTGGCCCTGTAACTTGAAAATGGTTGAATCATTGCCCTCACAGAATTCGTCTCGTAACAAATCTAAACTTGAAGGGTAAAGCCCAACGTGTAGGGACCATCATCATATTCTGTAACTAAAAACAACAACTCATCAATTATCTATTAACTTTTGCTCCCTCGAAAACCTCGCACCGATCCATCATCCGATTGCACAATCGCCGCGGTGCCACCTAGCTGTCTGTTCCCGTGTCAATCCCGTCGCTCTCCAATGGTCTCCATCTCTCCCCCCCCCCTTTCCTTCCTTCCCTTACGCTCCGCCCACTTTTTGGTCCGCGCGCATCGGCCCTCCGTCCCCCCTTCCGCGCGCGCGCTTTCCCGTACATCTCTCGCCGGTTCCCATGACTTTTTTCCGAAATTTTTTGTAGGGAATTGACTGCGAGATGTAGTATTGTATCTTTCTTGAAACTGTGTCGCTTTCCTGCACATTTTTTCGCCGTTTTCCCATATATCCCTTGGTCATAAAAAAGTTTCATGATGTTGTGTATATTGTGCATGTGTGTGTGTGTACGTGTTCAAAGTGTTTATTATAGCTCAAACTTTCTTCACTCTCACTCTCTCACTCTCTCTCTCTCACACTTCAAACAACACGTTTTCAAGTGCTGTTTCTGACTTTTTCTGACTTTTTCTTCACAAAATTCCGCATATTTCAGTAGCAGAATGGAGGAGGAGCTGAAATGCGCGATATGTGTCCGATATTTCGACGATCCGATAATATTGAATTGTGGACACAGTCTGTGTCGAATGTGTGCCATCAAAGCGCATCAACCGTCGACGTCTTCCGCCTGCTCGTCACTTTCATCGCCAAGACCCTCGACGCCGGGCATTTTGTCGCAGATTTTGAGCTCGAGCAACTCGTGCTCGCCCGTTTCGCCGCAGAGCAGCGGTGGTAGCAGTGGTGAGTTGTTTAAGATTCCGGCACTTTCCTTTGTAGCTTGAACATTCTTACTCTCATTGCATTTGTCTCGTTGAGACGTTTGGAATGGTTTGTCTCATCCAATTATTGTTGTCGTAGCCCATTTGGTATGAGAAAAAGAAAAAAGAAAACCGCAATTGGATTACTCAATCTTCTAACCCATTGACATATGGCTAATGGCCATCCGACTCTAGATCCTAGACCCTAGACCCCCCCCTTTCCCATTTGCATACTACTTTTCCGGGGGTCTCTTGGTACCTTTTTTTTGAAACCAAATATCATCCATTTCCACTTTTTTGCTTTCAGGATCCTCAGATACCGTATCCTTGTGCGTTTCGGACGGCGATCATGAGAGCGACAAACTTTCGGTGGTCTCGGAGACCGATTCCGGTGTGGTCGGGTGTGGCAGAAGTGAGTTTTTACCATATTTATATAAGGAAAGTATTGTAGGTCTTAATTTTTCAGCGAGCCGCCCGTCGAGCATCATCGGACCGCCGCTTTCACGCCTTCACAACATTCTGACGCCTTCCACGTCGGGCGTTCAAATATTGTGCAATTCGTGCCAGAAATGCTCGTTTTTTTCCGACGAAAACTCGATCGTCAACGCGCCGACGAACTTGGCGATGCAAAATGTGATCCAACGATATTTGACGGCTCATCCCGACAAAATTGGCGTTCCCGGACCGAGTCAGGGACCAAATTGCGCACCGACAATATCATCAAAGAGAAAAGAAGAAGAGGACGACGACGTGGCACGCTGTCAATTGTGCGAGGGAAGCGAGAATCGCGAGGCGAACGTTTTTTGCGAACAATGCGACATTTACTATTGTACGCCGTGCCAAAATGCACTTCATCCGGCCAGGGGACCACTCGCCAAACACAATCTGGTCCAGGCGGGCGGGGGAAGAAAGTGAGTCGCTTTGTTTCGAGTTGGAGAGTTCGCAAAAAGTCCCAACTATTGTCCATTTCCAGAAAATCGCTCCCACCGCCTCCGCCCACGCCCTCAACTCCCCGGGACCTTCTCCGATGCATAGTGCATCCGTCGGAGGGCCTGACAATGTACTGTCTGGCGTGTAAAGTCGCCGTCTGCTCCAGATGTCTTCAGGTAAACTTTTGAACGATTTCTTTTTACTAAACGAATAAAGGTTCTGTGTGTCCCATACCTGGCATTCACAAAAGTAGTGCTGAAATCTCGGGTTACTGTAGTATTGCTGTAGATACATGTATGTACCTACAGTAACCTAAAACTATCGATTGAATGACGTTTTTCTCTGTGACTCTTCATTTCACACACTATTTCTCTCGTATCTAGTTCAGTCACACATTTGAAGTCCCTGAAGTATCCATGCAAAAGTTAGGCCACGGGAACCTATTTCTTTGCGTTTTTCACTCTCTCTCTCATTGAAACTTTGAAAAGCATAAAGGCCAGGGCCGGGGGAAAGCTAGGCCACTATTATAAATCTACATTTTCTCATCTCAGGACCTTCGCCACGCCAATCACGACGTGCAGTCGCTTCCGATCGCTTGCAAAGGACATAAGGTAGGCATTTGTCAATCAAATTTTTTCTTCTCTTTGGTTCTGAGGTTCTGAGGCTTTGGGGGAGGGGGGGAGGCCTTGATGCGCTATATCCTCCCGCTCAAAAATCTGTCCATTATACATAAATATAGTACTTATCCATAAATGGACAGATTTTCGAGGGAGGGGGGGGGGGTCTAATTACCTTTTTGGTGAAAAGAGGGAATTTCAAAGTCATCGACAAAGCGAATTAATCGGAGAGCGTTCGCCTGGAAACTTTTTCCGTCCCGTACAAACTTTTGTGTGGCTGTTTATTCAGTGATGACCTTGTGCAAAGCGAGCGGTGTGAATTGACTTGGAACTAGCTAGCAAGGGACTTTTATGGATATACTAGATCGATAAAAACTATGGATATAAACGTTAAAGTGCTTTTTGCTTTTTACTTTTTGCTTCCTTCTCCCATTTGCCTTCATCATCAATCTTGTGGCGACACATAAACATAGTACTACTACTACTTTTGTTTGTTGCTTCTTCTTCTTCTTCTTCTTCTTCTTCTTGACAAACTTTCTTAGACCCCCCCCCCCTTCCTTTTCCCTTTTTGGTCAAATGAAGGATAAGGGCGACAAAATTAGGCGAAGAAGTGTGGATTAATAGTAGTAGTTGATGGGGAATAGTAAAGTTAGTAGAGCCCTTCAAAAAAGGGGTCTACGAATGTCAAATCTCTCTCGAGTTCAATCAATATTATCCATTTCTCAATATCATACACTCGCTCGGGTGGCTGTGTAAAAGAATCTTTCGAACGAAGACATTCGAAACCGCAGCGATAATGATGAGCTGTTAATAATAGTGCATTGGTTTGTACGTGTGTGTGTGTGTGTGTGTGTGTCGTGAAATGTGAGATGATGATGGCCGAGAGGAACACTTGAAGACGGAAGGAAGGTCCCTGAGAGACTAATGGCCGATGAAGGGTTATGCAATTCTGACAGACAAAATGACAGGTTCCGATTTCTGAGGGATTTGCGAGAATTTTCAGTTTTCTGCAAATTAGCCAGTTTCCTGAGAGTTTCAATGCACTTCTACTAAATTTTCCCGCAAATTCTTCATTTCCGATTCACACTCATCAATTTCGAATTAGAAACATTGGCACATTATGTGACACCACGCCAGCGCATCTAGTGTAGATTCTTTTGAGAACGTCTTGCCTAAACCCTCCGAATTTCTACTCCAATTAGTCATCGTCCGTCCCGCCAACGTGTGCGGCCCACACAAAAAGTGGTCACAAATGACACATGTTCTTCTATACTTTCTGTGAGAATGCCGAGACGAGACGAGAGAGAGAGAGAGAGAGAGAGAGAGAGAGAGAGAGCACAAATGACACTCAGGTGAGAGAGCGACAAATTGTAGTACTAGTTACACATTGTAAACGTGGCTTGACCCGAAAAGAGACGCGGCGGCACCTTTACCTTTGATCGTTCGTGTTCTATTCAATATCATCGCATTCGGGACACACTGCAACTTTTTATTGCACATTAAATGAATAAAAGAGAGGGAGAGTGATAACGGAAAAGGTTGGCACGTTTCGACGATGCACCATGTGAGGGAAGCGGTCCGGTCGATGATGCACCATGTAATGTGGGAAAAGATGAAAAATTTTACAGATCTTGGTTGATGCACAATGTGGAAGTAGAAAACCAGTCCTGACTACCCTAAAAATTTGTTTTCTATTATTTTGGCCGATGCCCCATACTCCTAGGCCCACCCAAATTCATCAAAATCTTGCAAATGTGTCGGTCGATGCCCCATGTGAACCTTTTTTCGTGACTTTTACCCGAGTATTCGGGTGTCCTGGCACCGCCCGAACCCAGATGGACATAAATCATATCTCGACCTCCCACTCGGTCCCTGACAATCGGTGCCGGGTGCAATTAGACACGAACACCAACATCTCCCGGAAAAGGTGATTTATGTACGAGTTTTGAGAAGAAAAGACCTTTGAATTCAGGGGGGGGGGACTTTATTGAGAGGGACCGGTAGATGCACCATGTGGAATTGTTTTTTTCTCAACATGGTGCATCGGCCAGGAATACACTTGTTTAGAGTATTTGTCCAACTATTGTATGACAACACAAATTGGTAAATGTCATTGATACCCCATTTTCCTAATATGTTATGTATGCACATCTATTTCTCCGATTACCCCCCAAACTTATATTGTCCGTTTCTTGTGCTCCTGGGCCGGAAGGGACCGCCTTTGTGTAACAAAACACACCGAACATTTGTCACTTGTTTTCAAACAACTATCGATGATCCCAGGGCGCCGGGAGCCCAGGATCATTGAGAAAAGTCATGGGAGCCCTGGAATGTTGTCAACACGAAAGACCTGAGAGGGACCTGCAGATGCACCATGTGTTTACATGGTGCATCGGCCGGTTTCACTGGCTTGCCGATGATACCTTTGCAACATTGAAAATTTTGCGAAATTTTGACGCAAAAGCCATGAGCTCATCCATCAAATTGTCAGCTTTGCAAGACCGATTATCGCTTCCGTGGATTTCCGGAAAGTGTCACACATCTTTCTTCTCTCGGATGATAAATTGGATAATTATAAAATTGGCAAAAGGTTTCGCAGTCAGCTGGTGGTCGGTGACAAGCGTCAGACCGTGTGTTGCATAAGAAATGATTGAAAAGAGAGAAGAAGAAGAAGGCGGTTGCGTCTAGGAGACGGATTAGGAATAAGGAAAAAAGACAGAAGGCGTCAGGATTACTGTACTCGATGGATGAGAGCACGAGCAAACAAATGAGTCGGGACAAAAGGGTTCCGACTGGTTAGTGTACGTTTCGCCACGTCACAAAATTGCATTTCCCGTTCTCGCCCCCTGACTTAAGACCACGAGGAGGCCTTCCTTAAAATATCCCTAAAATTCCCCTCCAAGTGCATAATAATCCCCCAAAAAAAATTTGTCAACGCAAAGAGACGGACAAGGAGAGGATCATCAATCAAAGGATGTGTTGCGCGAGTGTGCAGTGTGTACTACACACACCATTTTTCCGAGCGGGACGTAATTTATGCGCACGACACAAAATGAGGGGGGTGTACTGGAAGACGACGATAAAGAATTAGGGGACGGGTGGGTTTGTCACACACAAAAAATACGTTTTAGGGACACAAATTTGCACTGAAAAAGTCGGTTTTTCATCCGTTTTTTCGATGCCAAATGTCCCATGGTTGCAAATTGTCTTCTAGTTGCAAAACGGCCATCTCTGGTTAGTTACGAATCAAAATTTTCCAATTTTACTCACATCTTCCTCTTACTATTAGAAAGGTTTGAGCGTGGGTTGCGAAATGCCCTCTAGTTGCAAAGTGTCCTCCCACGCCGCAACTTTTAGCAGTAATTATCCATCCTCTCCTCCAACTTTGCCGTTTTCTCATGTTCTGTCCAGTACGGAAGTACTAGAGCCTTCCGGATCCTCATTCCGACACTTCTTCTTCTTCTTCTTCTTCTTCTCCCCCTCTCTCTCTCTCTCTCTTTCCCTAATTCAATTTGTGTCCAAAGGCGCGAACTTTTCGCATCCTCTTCCTGTTGCTTCATCAGATTCCCGCCTAAATTAGGCTAATTTCCAATCCAGAATGTATTCGGATGCGTGCGTGTGTTGTGAAATGAAATAAAATGAAATGAAACTTTTCGTCCGAATTCTGTCATGAATAACAAGAGGCGAAGGGGAGGGACCGAACAGATGTTCGTGCGGGGTGAAAAATGAGAAACATCATCATTAATTCTAGGCGGACGATGATGGTTGATTTGGTGTATAATTTTGGAATTTATCGTCAACTAGAAAAGTGTTGTACTATACGATAGACACGTCTATAATATCGTTTTTGCAGACAGAACTCTCGTCGACCCTTCAACAATTGTCGGAGAAAGCGAAATTGGCGCGCGAAGAAATCGAGCAGCTGAAAGGCATGCACTCGATCATCCACAACAACTGCAACAACTTCAAATCGTCGCTGTGCATTCAAATCGATCAGCTCATCGAGCAACTTCAGATGAGAAAAGCGAAATTGATGCAACACGTGGAGGAGCAGGCGGAGACCAAAGTAATTTCCGGTGAAATGACCCTTAAATTGAGTATTTGCCATTTCAGAGACGAATTCTCAAGTCGCAAATCGTTCGGTGCACTGGAAAATGGAAGAAGACGTCGGCACTGATTCAATTCTGCATCGAAGCCCTCAAAGAGCCGGATCCGTCCATTTATATGCAGGTTGGTTTTTGGAAGAAAAGTGTAATCGTATTGTGATCGTATCCGGAAACAAATTGCAGATTTCCAACACTCTGCTGCATCGCTCGACCAGTTTGGAGCTATTGTGGCACAAAGAAATGCGTACCAAGCCGGAAGTGGATCCGGATTTTGTTCTGAATTTGGACACCAAGCATCTACAGTACACCATTCAGACCCTCGATTTTGCACAGCTCAAAGGTTGGTTTTATCGAACAATTCTCGATAAGTTTATCGATAAACTTATGTATAAAAGCATTACCCTCAAAAAAAAATCAATTCTAGCCGCCCATAGAGGCACACGATCGAAAGGCGATTCGTCGAAAGGTAGAGTAGAACGGATATTGTGAATTTGTGGATAGATTATTGTGTTTATCTATAAATATATAGTGGTGGAATCCTTATTTTTGTGAATATCATCACCCTCTTGCACCACACCCCACACCGCACTTGATATTTTTGTTTTGTAAAGGCAAAAGCATGTAACAAGTATTTATTTTGAAAAAAAAGTATTTGCAGTACCGTCCGCGCCGCTAATCGATACTTCCGAGTGTTCGGCGGAAAATAATTCGGTTACGGTAGTCTGGAGGGCCCGGAATGACGGAAGTGCCGTCGACGGATTCGCGTTGGAAATCGACACGGGCCGGGATGACGGCAACTTTAAGGTGCGTCTATCTCGAAAGCCGATCATTGTTTTGAAAAGTTGTCAACTGAAAAATTGTTGCAAATTGTATGCTCTACAACTTTGTAGTTGTCAATTTTGTCCCAAAATGCTCCATTTTTGAGTTATACTCTGTACAAAAACACTAGCGGCTTATCTAAAGTTTCGACGTTTCTAAAGGCCTATATCTCGAGAACTAATAGATGTTTCAAAAAGTTGTCAACAGCAAAATTGTTGCAAATTCTATTCTCTACAACTTTCTAGTTGACAATTTCACTCCAAAATGCTTCATTCTCAAGTTATGTCTTCAGGAAGTCTACTCGGGTCCCGACACGATTTGTACCATCGACGGACTGCACTTCAACACGGTCTACACGGCGCGTGTGAAATCGTTCAATGCGGCCGGCGAGAGTGAATACAGCGAGCCGATTTGTCTGCAAACCGCCCACGTGGCATGGTTCCAGCTGACGAAATCGCCGTCGCAACGGGAAATGCTACTGACGAACGATTGTGCGACACTCAGCGGAAGTTCCATGGAATACGGTACTGTACTGGGCAGTGTCGCTTTTTCAAAGGTATGCAACTTTTTTGTTTTAAAGGCCTGTTACTAAAATTTGGTTGTACTACAACGCTTTTCTACGAAAAAACGTAATTAGGACCAGACTCGTGACTCATAAGTTTCATATTGTTTAGAAACTAGACCATAACTCAAGAATGACAAGTTTTGGAACAAAATGATCAATTACAAAGTTGATCCGCACAAAATTTGCCGCAACTTTTCAGTTGACCAAATTTTGAAATAAGCATCACATCCAGAGATATAAGCGTCTAAAGATTAAAAGCACTGACATGTAATCTTTAGCACCCTGCTCTAGCCAAGCGTATAAGTAACTATTGAGAACTATACTTTAATGCCAAAAATTGAAGAATTTCTCAGGGAATCCACTACTGGGAAGTGACGATCGATCGATACGACGGCAACGCGGACATTGTGATCGGCGTGGCACAGCCGGCGGTCAACCGGAACGTGATGCTCGGCAAGGATCTGCACGGATGGTCCATGTACATCGACAAGGACCGCTCGTGGTACATGCACAATGAGACACATCATTATCGTATTGCCGGAGGCGTTACTAGAGGTACGTTTTTTTGTCACCTAGGGTCACTTAACTTTGAACGGATATTGTAGGGTTGCGAAACGTCCTATGGTTTCCAAAATTGTTTTATGGAAAGTTGAGGTCTAGTACAAGATATTTTCACTTGACAACTTTTTTCTAAGACCATTCCCTGGAGTTCTGTAGCTCTTGGAAGTTGGCTTTGAAATCCATCATCTATTGTGAGCTTCAACTTCTAAGCGCTACAGTAATCCAGAAAGTGGTTGTAGAGAAAAATAGTAAACTACAAAAATAAAGCTCACATCTAGTACTCTATTTTTGTAGTTGACAACATTTTTGTACCACCTCTTCCAAGGGTACTGTAGGTCGTCGAAGTTGAGGTGCACAATGCCAACTTCCAAGCGCTACAGCACGCCAGAAAGTGGTCCTAGGAAAAAAGTGTAAACTACAAAACTGTAGTACTAGATCTCAATTTTCGATAGCGCAAAGCTGCTCATGTTTATTGTTCACAAAAAACGACTTTTCCAGGCACAGTGATCGGTGTCAAGTTGGATTGTGATCGCGGGATCCTCGAGTACACCATCAACGATCGGAAACGTGTCTACATGACTGAAAATGGTCCCGACGTGTTGGCTTTTACGTAAGTTTTAATGAAAAACTGAAAAAAAAACAGCTCGTAAAATGACGCGTTTCCAGAAAACTGCCACGTGGCTTGTACTATCCCGCCTTTTCGGTCAACGCCAACGCCTCCATCACTGTTCATACCGGTCTTTCGATCCCATCAACGCTTACGTCGGAATAAAATTAAAAATTAAAAATATACAAAAACAGTTTCTCCTTGGCCTAAACTATTCTGCCCCCGGTTTCATCATTTTCCAGCTTTATCTCCCCCACTTTTCCTACCCGAACAAATCTTTCAAATTTATCGATTTTTGCCTATCCGCCCCTCGCAAATTTTTCATACACAACCGGTACACTTTTTTTGAGATTTATCCCCATCTTGCATTTGTTTTGTCTGTAAATACACTTTTTCGATAGAAAGCACCAATTTGGGGGACAAACTGAAGACGACAGGGAATGAATGAGAAACGATATGGAAGGGGGTAACATTGAAATAAAAATATGCACAATCAGACAAGGAAAACGTTTGAAAATAAATTATCACATTTTAACGCAAAATTCGAGGTGATGACGTAGAATTATGACTTGTTGAAGAATGACTTGAGCTAAAAAATGAATACATTTAAAAAAAAACCTTATATTATAGGGGCACCGCACAGAAATGGCGCTCTGTTGAGAAACTGTTTTTTCAGTGCAAATTGAGCGACCTCGGGGCCGAGTTTGAAAAGTTAGGCCACGTTTTCAGTGGAAAATTACTTCGCGGCCTAGAAATTCTGCCAGATTGCGAACAGCGCGCCCTTTCTGTTCGGTGCCCCTATAATAGTTTTTGCGGCTCTCAAATCCGGCCACATGGGACTGATAATCAAAAGTGTATTAGGTCGGGCTACGTGGTCCCTGGTCCGATCTAATAAACGCCATGCTAGTTCTCCCCGCATTTACAACCTTTTCCGATTGTTCGGAGTGATTTGGAACAAAACATTTTTGTTGAAATAGAAAAAAAACGTACAGTTCCTCTGGATTTGCTTGTCTCTTTCTCCTTTGGTTGTTTCTGTGCGACGAGCGTGGCGAGATGGTCGGAAAGGTCTCCCAACTGGGACTCGTAACTCCTCCGCACACTCTCCAACTCGTCCTCCAGTCGGTGGTTCCGCCCGGCCGCCGACTCCAGCTCCGCCCGCAATTCTTGCATTTGTTCCTCCACGTGCAGTTCGTGCCGGATCAGTGCTTTCATCTGAAAAATGCTCCATTATCAATCGTTTCTCGTCCATTTTTGAACGCTCAAAATGCTCGAATTTACGGTTTATTATCTTACAGACGATTTTCGCATTTAGAACTTTCAAAAGCCCATCTTAATCTTGCAGGACACCGCTGTTTAGGCCAAAAATCCAATGCCCACCTCAGTCTCGTAGAACCTGACCGCCTGCTCGGATTCAATTACTCTCCGCACCCATTCCTGCCGTTTCTCCATTCCGATCGCCCAGATATTGTCCAAATCCGTCTCCTTCTTGTCCAATTTCTCGCCGTCGTTCGTCGCGATTTCGAGTTTTCGTTTGACGAGCGAGTACTCGACGAACAGCTTGTCGCGCTCTTTTTGCAGCTCCTCGTTGTTTTTCATGAAGATGTCGAGCTCGTTTCGCAGGTTTTGCTCCTCTTTTGGGGGCGGCGCTTGTTCCTGGGGTTCTGGAACAGCAGCTGATGGTTCCGGAACCTCCGGATCTTCCGGATCCTCTTCATCGAACGGATTTGAGGGTTTTTGAGGTTTCACAGTGATATCCAACGTTGTCTGCTCAATTTTCACAGATAGTTCCAGAGTTTTCGAGCATTCCGCACTGTTTTGCTCGTTTCTGCCCATTTGCTCGACTCTCGCCGCCCGGGCGCTCAATTTGCTCGTTTCCTGGGCGGTGAGCTGTAGGGCCGCCTCCAGAGCGCCGCCAACGCACCGCATTCGTCGCGACGTCGTCGGAAGCCGCGATTCGAACACCCATCGCTGCTGGAAACATTCGGAGAGCTCGACGGAGACGTCGGCAAGCGCCTGGAGCTCCGCGAGCACTTTTTGTGAATGTTTCTCAAAATCCGACTCCAAAACCGTGGACATTCGGTCGAAAACGGCGAACGCGTTGAGAATCAGCTGTTCCCAGCGGGCGTTGAGTTTGCTCAGCGGCGCGGTACACCACGTGACACGGTTCTCCTCGGACGTCATCTGACGCACGAGCTCGGCGAGCAATTGGAGGCAGTGGCGGGCGATGAGACGGCACTTCGAGGTGATCAGAGGGAGATGGTCGGATGCGGTCCCGCCGCACGACAGGAAGTCGTCGGCGATTTGAACGAGGTCCGAGAAGAGACGTGCCGTCTGCGCGTATTCCGACGAGAGCTGCAACATTTGGGATTTTAGGAGAAGGTAAAACACTTTCAGTCAATTTCGCAGTTTAAGAGTTTTCTTTTAAGCCATTTTTTATCAGCAACTGCTCTAAAACTGCTCCGGATCGGAGCATGAGAACCGAATTTGCGAAACGTGGATAGATTTTCTATATTTTTCACTCGCAATATCGCCTCAAGGTTATTCGTTCGCCAAGACAAACCTTTTCGACGTGCGGCGGCAATCGCTCCATCGTCACATCGTACGGATAGATTTCCGATCGTTGTTGCAACAGATTGAAGACGTTGTGCAAGGCTGAACGTTTCCCATGTATTTCGTTAAAAATGACTAAATTTGAGCTCAAAATGTGCTCAGTTTTATTGAGAAATGAGAAATTGAATCGCTTTTCGGGTGAGAGCTCAAAATGCTCGTCTTCACGAGCATTTTTCCAACTCTTTCAACATGTTACCGGAAAAAGTGCCCCTGGCTGCTTCTGCGACCATAATCCTTGCCTCCTCGTGGGTCTCGGGTGGCTCGGGGCTCCCGATCTCCTCCAGTTTCTCCGCTTCTTCTTCCTCTTCCTTCGGCTTCGCTCCGTTCGTCCTGAATCGCATTCTCCTCACTTCTTCCTCCAATTTCCGCATTTCCGTCGCCAATTTCTCGGACATTTCGGCCATTTCGTGTGCGTGTCGCCGCTCGGATTCCGCCAATTCGTTCACCAATTTCTCGTTTTCTCTCAATTTTTGCTCGAGCTCTTGCTCCAAAAGATCCAGTTTTGCGTGCGCGGCATTTGGCGGCAGAGCTTCGTGTTTTTTCGACGATTTTTGAGGATTTTGATGGGAAGAATCGAATTGTGATTGGAAGGTCTCGACACGACGAACCAATTGATCGTTGCGGAAAGTGAGCGACTCGTTTTCCGCCTCCAAACGACGAATTGTCGCGTCTTTGCTCTTCACCTCTTCCTGTAGCAATCATAATCATCATCAATCATTCTTATTTAATCAGACTCAGGGGTGGGTGAGCGCTGTAATTGGCGAAATTTACATTTGAACAGTGTTTCTTCGGGAATGAGTTCATAATTATTAAAACTAACAAAGAGCAACAAGAAACTCGCAAAATTGTCTATGGGTCACTGCCAAAACTGTCTTTTTCGATATGTGACTGCTCGTGCGCGCTCTTTGTGTCACTTTGTTAGTTTTCATCATAATGAAGTCACTCCCAGAAAATCAAGTGAAATAAATCAGTATTCGTCCGACGGCACGCACCTGAAACTTTGGCGCACAGAAGAAGGCGAGGAGAACGCGCCGCCGTCCGCCACCCGTGTGAAAAAGACAGTTTTGGCAGTGATCCCTAGACATTTCTGCGATTTTCTTGTTGCTCTTTGTTAGTTTTAATAATCATTATGAACACATTCCCAAAAAATCAAGTGAAATGAATCAGTATTCTCCCGACGGCACGCATGGTTTCAGAACGGTCAAGGAGCGCGCGGCCGTTCTGAAACCGCCGTTTGCATTTTAACACCGTTAAAATGCAAACTCAAGCTCACCCCAGGACTGCTCAGACTGCTATGATTCAAAAAAAGGCTCGTCAGAAAAAACGGGAACATAAATTAGCCGGCGAGCTTTCAGCCGGGGAATTATTGCCAGCAAAGGAAGCGCCTGTTTCCGTCCTTCGCCACGGGGAGGCTTAGTCATTGAAGGACATGATCGTCTTCGGACGATCCGTGCACCGGCAGCGGTAGATACACGAGCAAAGTTACTGCTCGGTTTGCGGAGAAGATTCTTTGCCAACCGACCGACTTTACGCGGCCCTTTCTCTCGGAAAAAAAGCGAAATAGTCTGGAGCCTGATTGTTCATGACATCTTGTTGGAACCTACATGTTCATGGAACCTTCTTCTTTTTAATTTTGATGGATTTTTCAAATTCACCGTCAATTTTTCCGTTTTCGCTCGTTCTTCCAGTACTCCTTCTCGCAACACTTTTGCTTGTGATCGCAACTGCAAAAAACATGCGTTATTTAAGGGAATTCTCGAGTTTCGCAATCTTTTTTTTCGCTTCAATTTCTGCAAAACCGTACTTTTGTGTACTCCTGCGCCAACCGCTGATATCTGACATTTGCGTCGGAGCTCAGCGACACCGATGATACTGACATTTCAGGTTTTCCCACTGAAATTGTTTTGAAACATATTTTGGGCTTTAACAAAAATAATAACACTGATCAGAACAGATTTTCTTCGACAACCAGGCTTTGAAAAATTGAAATTTTAATCCACGGTTACGACTGCACAAATCGAGTAAAATTGTTTCGCAAAAAAAGAAGAAATCAGGGCTGGGCAATTTGTCGGCCTGGGCTTTTCGTTGACCGGCTTTTGACCTCGACTTTTGGCCCACTTGCAGTTATCCGATCGGACCCAAACTTTGCAGGATTGTTGCACTTGGATCGAGGGCCATTGGGATCTATTTTCAGCTCGATCCGATTATTCGGTCCCGAGATATGTGGATCAGAGGCCTAAAAGACCAATTTCTTTTGACCTCCGATTCACATATCTCGGGACCAGATGATCCGATCGGTCTGAAACTTGGTCCCAACGGCCGCAACGGATTTTATGCTGACAAGTGAGTGATTTCGCACTTGTCAAAATTTCCCGCGTGGTCGCCACGCTGTGCGCCCATCTCTGTTGCAAGTGGTTAAAAAGTTCAGGTCTAGGGCCGGCCGATTGCCCAGCTCTGGTAGAAACAATTTAAACAAAAATAGTATTCGAGACCATCATAGTAGGAAGAAAGTGGGGAGGACGGTTAATATTTGGAAATGGATAATGTCGGGGCGGACGAAAAATCGATAAATTAGGCGGATAAATTGACGGAACAATGGCAGTGATAGGGGAAAAATTAGCGAAAAATTGTGAAAAATCCATAATTCTTCTAGAATATCCAAAATTTCAGCGACGTGTCGAGGAGGCGAGCGTCGAGGGTCTTCCGCGAATCGGCGGCGGCTTCACGCTTTCGTTCGTTCCGCAATAAGTGTCGCAGAACCACGTGCCACGTGGCGCCTGCTTCAGCCCCACACAGAACGTGTGGAAGCCGCGGTCGCAGCGGTCGCAGAACACGATTTCGTCCTGCAAAAAAGGCCTATTAGTTTCAGAGGCTCTGCTCATAGAGATTAACAGGTACATAGGAAAGACGACAACTACTTTAGTGCAGCTCTAAGAAATTATATATATTTCCTCTATTCATGCCAAATTAGCGCGTACCTCTTTCTCTGGTTTGTTGCAAATCGAGCAGACTCGGCAATCCACACAACTCCACTCGTAAGTTTTCACGAGCGCCGCCATTCTTTCGGGCATTTCGATGCAACGCGGGTGGTACGCGATTTTACACGTCGCACAGCTGCAAGAAAAACACGTTATTAATATTGTATTTGCGGTGTGGCATGCTCAGAAGATGAGGACCCGAACGGGTGAAAAACGCACCAAATCATCTCTCCGCCGGGTCGTTCGCACGAATCGCACGGCCGATTCGGATCGATTTCGATCGCCGTGTACACTGGTTCCTGCAAATCAAATTTTTGAGGGAAACGGGGCACAGAAACGGCATTTTTCTGCGGGGGGAAGAAAAATTGTTTTGCAGACAATTTTATTTATAGAAAAGGGTTACAATATACAAAATTTTCGTTCACAAGCACAACAAAGTTCATCATTATTATTATAAGTATTATCCGAGAGAGAGAGATCCTTGTTTTAAATTTTTTCCGTGATGGGGGTTAGTAGTAGTTATAATGTAGATTCTCCGATTGCGAAACGTCCTTGTGGTCCCAGATGTGATTCTAAAATGGGCAAAAACAAAGGAATGGCACGACAAGAAGCGGGAAAAGCGGATGAAAACGAGGAAGCATGCGGGTAGATTGTGGAAGCTAGCTTTAAAATCAATTTTCCGAGCACAAACCTGTTTGATTTGGGCCTCCCGAGCTCTCATGGCCTGTTCCCGCTCCACACGGATCAAATCCTGCTCGGCGATGCTCAGCGGCGGCGGAGAAGCGTCGCGGACCGCCGGGAACAGATGCGACGAGTCGAGGACGGTCCCGAGCGGAAGACGCATCAGTTCCGCACGCGAGAACCTGCAAACATGATGAAATTTTAAAGAAGAGTGTGTGAAAAAGAGGCCTGGACTTTTGAACAACTTGAAATAATCCGATCGGATCCAAACTTTGCAGGCTTATTGGACTTGGGTTCAGGTATTTTTGATCCCAGTTTCAGACCAATCCTCCTATTATCCAGTCTCGAGATATGTGGATCGGAGACCGAAATAATCTGGCAGATTTTCGGATCAGTCTGAAACTTGGACCCAATATACTTTAATCCAAGTCTAAGAAGCCTACAAAGTTTGGGCCCGATCGGATCATTGCCAAAGTTCACGAATTTTAGTTAATTTTATGTAACAATTGACGAAACCCCCACTTCTTATAATAGCTCTGATATTGTCCGGGAATGAGAGCGACCGGATACGGTCCCGGACGCGTCGCCTCTTTTCTCATCACTTTCCAGTTGTTTCGACGCGATTGGATTATCTGAAAATTGGAAAAAATCCAGAAAGAATCTGAAAAATTGCGCACATTAGTCTGAATGTCCCAGAAGTGTTTGCGTTCGTTTATTCGTCGATTCTGAAGATCCTTGTTGAATTCGACGGCGCTTTGGAGCGCGTTCTTTCGCAATTCCGCCAATTTCACCGAATCGTTTTTGATCTGCAATTAAAAGCTATTTTCCCAAAAAATATCACATTCTCCCACTCACCGCCTCCATTTCCTTGGCTTTCGCCTGTTGCGCCTCCCGCTCTCGCTGTCCGCACACTTTCTTGTACTCCATGTAAATTTCGGCGAAATCCGACTGCATCATGTCGTGAATTTCGCTCGCTCGCATCGCATTCATGTCACGGAGCACTGAAAATCGCAATATTATTGACTTTTCTCGGATTTCATGATGAGAACGGCTAAAATGACGTACGTGTCTCGTTGAGCAGCTTGTGAACATTGAAGTTCCACTCCAGATACTCTCGCTCTTCGTGATTCACCTTGCGGCGCGAGAAATCTGGATATTTTCGCGAAAACGACTTAATATCGAGCAGCTCGCCGATTTGTTCTTGCAAAAACCAACGATCGCCGGACTTTGGCGGCCATTCGTACTCGATAATGTCCTTGGGCTCCACCTGAGAGAAAATTGTGAAAAATCGATAATTTTATTGAAATTGACGGGCTAAACTGCACAAATTGTTTATTCAACGCACCTTTCGATGGTTTACGTCGAGCATAATATAAACATTTCGGTTGATCGTCTCGCGTCTCGACGAAATCGGAGCCGCCGGCGTACTTTCCTGACTGTCCGCCACTTCCGGCGTCGAAATATTGCTGTCTTCTGTCGAAATTCCGTCTTCCATCTGGAAACTGTCGAAAAAATCACTGAAAGTCTTAAAAATCGATGAAAGACAAGCGAAAATCGGGTCAAACCCATTCAAATAATGTGCGTCGTGTTTGCGGACCAGGAGTACACCACACGGCGATTTTGCGTACCAGGCATTTCAATAGACACGCGAAACTGTTAAATTGACGAAGATTGCTGAAATTTCAGCGGAAAAAGTTGAAGGAAAGCCGGAAAATGGGAACAAAGAAGCCACACAAATTCTGCACATTGAAATACGAAAGAAGAACTTTTGCTACTTTTTTTGCAAGAAAATTGTCTCAAATTAGACTAATTTGAATTTTTCGAGGAACAAGGAAGTTTTTACACTCTATTTTGTTTTTGCGCACTTTTCAGACACATTCCAAAGCGAAACAACCCGACAAAACGGGTTCTTGGAAAAGGCCATTACATTGGCGCCGATGACGGCTCGGGAATGCGAATTTCCGGGCTCATTTTGGATTCCCGTCATTGTTTCGCCGTTTCGGACGTCAGAAACCGACGGGATTAGTGGAGAACTCGTCCGAAACAAAGCGAATGTTTACAATTTTTGTTCCTTGTTTTCAAATGTAATGTCTTCAAATTTCCCATGCTCTTTTATTGGAAACTTGTTCTCTTTAGGTGGAAAATGTGTTGTACAAACAGTTTTTGACATGATAAAAGCGGTAGATTTTAGTTTTTCGGAAGCACTCTGGTAAATTCTGTGAAAAACTAGAATTCAACGATTTTTCACATGAAAAGTATATATTTTCGATTGACAACTTGTACAAAACTTGAGTATGTTGCTATTTTTTCAGTTTGACTAATTAAGAACGTATAGAAACCAGTTTTTTTTGGCAAAAATTACGAGAAAGTTTGAATGCGAGCCCCAAGTTTTGAAATTGTCGTGAATTGCGGTGCAGTGCAGACTGCACAATTTCTCGTCGGCTACAGTATCCAGACGTTTTTTGACAGCGAAAAATTTTCGAATTTCCAACGTTTGTTGACCTCTTGTGCAGCTTCCCATGTTATTTCTATCGACTTTTGCCGCCTTTTTTCCCAAATTTTCTCTCTTTTTGCAGAAATTAGCAAATTCGCACCAATCGTCGCTTATTCGTTCAGTTTTACTTGTTTATTTCTAACACAAAAAAGTCAAGAAACTAGTAACGTCTTTCCGAATCGAAATTCAGCGAATTTCACTTTTCCGGTTCGCTTTCAACGCTTTCAAAGCATTTTTTGTAAAAATCCGATTTTTTACTGCCTCGCGAACATTTTCGTATTTCTTTGTCGGAATTTCTTCAGCTGACCTCAAAAACATTTTCTTGAAGCGTCAGTGTGATCATTGACACCTAATCGTTCAGTGTTTTTTCTAGAAATCACCCATTCTCCTCTTTTTTTCCCATTCTGATGATGAGGTCATCATCAGAAGAAGGCGTCAAAAGAATGTTTGGCTCGTTTTTTAATGCATCCGGAAAAGAATTGTTGAGGAGCGAAAATGTCCTTCTTCGTCTCCTCGGCCCGCCCCTTTTCTCTCGTCTATAATCCTCCATTCGTCTAATTACCTCTCTTTTTCTTCCGCTTTTTCTCTGAAATTTCCCAATGTTTCTTGGTCCACACTTTTTTTTGAACCCGAAAAAAGTGAGAGAAATTGCATTTTGCGACCAGAAATTGAATAAATTTGACGGTGAGAAAAAGAGCCTTCGAAAAGCCTGGGCCGAATTTTGCCCAGTCCTGGGCCACAACGTCAAAGTTAAGCCGAGTTCCGCTTTCCTCCGAAAATCATTTAATTCCGCCTCCGCTTTCCGTCTTCCACTTGCGAACACAGAAATTTATGGAAACGCATGCTTTCGTCAAAAATGTCAACCTCCCAATCTTTCCATTTTTTCTGCTCCTCAAACTCGAAAAACACGGAAAAAAGAATCGGTGACGAGCCCCTGATGGCCCGAGCGGACCCATTTTTCTCGCCGCTTCCCACCAACCAACTTTTTGACAGAAATTGCCACAAAATGTGTGCGTGCGCGAGAGAATTTTGAGCGCTTTTGCGCTCATTTGTCCCCGGGGACCGTTTGGCGCCTCGGCCACATGATGATGAGCCGAGAGAGAGAAAAAGGGGCGGAGCCGATAAAGTTTGGGGAAGGGGGGGACCTCCTGGCACTCGAAAGTTTTTATATACTTTACACACTCGATTTTGACACACACACACACACACATACGTTTTTTGAACTTTTCCGCTTCGATAACTTCAATTTTTACAATAGTTTTAGGATTAGTTGCAAAATTTTGAAGCGTTTCCGTCGCCTCCTTTAAAATATTTTAGTGTTAGAGTACAGTGTTCTTTTGGCTCAATTACCTATTTTGTGCTCAATTTTTGTCCAGAATGAGAACTTCCTCGAACCCGGACTTTTGGTCTCTGCCCGATTCCCAAGCAAAGTACGTCACGAACTGGACGGGTTTTCCGTCTTGGCCCGATTATTATATTATATATTCGTGGCTTTCCTCCGTCAATGGACATTTTCCGTTTTCTTCTATCTCTCAATCTTCCTCCTCTATGAAAATGACTATGCTCTTTTAAAAGTACAACATTTTATTGGCTCCATGCACGGCACCCTATCCAAGATCTGGCAGGTTCGGCGGACCATTTTTCTGAGCAATGAAACTCTTATCCTTCGGAACCTTACGAACTTTCCCTTTCCACGAAATCCATCCTTGCCCACCTCTCGCCGTGCCGACTAGATCTTTTCCAGTCTAACCCGCGAGGCGTGTTCCGAAATTTCCAGACGCCTGGGAACACATTTTCAAAAGAACAAAGGTAAAGTTGTTCCCGCTTTTTGACACCTTTCTCCTTATCTTTCTCGGTCATTTTATGTTTTTAGCGCTTGAAAATAAAATGAAAAAGTGTCAAAAACATTTGTATCGATGAGCAGCACTTGTACTGCTCAAAGACCATTCGAATTTTTTGAAAGGCTTTCATTTCGTCACGGCGTTCTGGTGTTTCATTGTGATTCTTGAATTTTCCCCATTTTCTAGACTAGTGAAAACGATTGCCTTTTTACTATCACATTTTTTTTCTCCGACCAATAATCGGTGATTAGATGATGAGTGAGGCCCGGAAATTCGAATTCCAATGTACTTTTTGTGCAAGACTTCCTGTCTATACCAATTTTCCGATTATCGGCCCAGTTTTTTTGGTCGGAAATCACTTTCCACTCATTTTCCTGCACCGGAAATTGAGCGTTTTCCGAATTTTTCCAGTTTCCTTCCTCGTCCCGCTCTCAAAAATGTTAGTTTATCTTTTACGATGCTCATGCGATTTTTGCTATAACTCTCTCTCTTCAACGTTAAGCCAAGCGCGTGCAAATTTGATTTTTCTGCGAAAAAGTGTGCACATTTCCCATGCACACGGTGTGTGTGGCTTTGAGATGTTTTTGGAGACGTGTGATTTATTTATCGAGTTTGCAGAAAATATTGAATTTAGGAGCGATACTTGGTTTATTTTTAAATGGATCTGTGCGCAAGGTCAGAACAAATTACAGGGTGGCAATTTTAGTTGGAATGAACGATTTGAGTCTGGACTTTTGATCAATTTTCGCGGAAATTCGGCCGTTCGGCCTCTGATCAACCTATCTCGAGACCAGATGATCGGATCGGTCTGAAACATCAGGTACCCAAACTGCTTGGGACCAGGATGGTCCGGTCTCGTGGCACCAAAGAAGTGTTACATGACGTAGGGACCGATTATGTTTTCTGGTGTATGATACCCAGTGCAGCATCTCCCCCCGTCTCGTGGTTCCCTTCGCCCGTGTCCCAACTCTTTGGATACCTGCTGAAACATGAACCCACTTCAGTCCGAGTCCAAGAAGCCCTGCAAAGTTGCTTGTCAATGTCCATGATAGCTTGAACTCGATTATGTACCGTCAAAGAAAGAAATACTAGGTGTCCAAAGGTCAATTTTTTCAACTCAAAAACTGACTCATTTCGGATCGGATCGTGCGACTCGGAAGGCGACGTGCTCGTCCCTTTTGCTCCCATAATGTGTGTGTGTGTGCTCTATTTAATCCGAATTTCCGGATGCTCCTCTCCCTCTTTCTCTCATTTTCTGTAGCTCTTCCATCGCCAATTCCGAAATGACTAATTCAGTCTTCTGTCCAGAGTGTGCTCGAAAAATTTTACATGTTTTCTCGCCGAACCCAAACCCGGAACGATTTTTGTAAAAGTGCGCGCACATTTTGAGCTTGAAATAGCTTTTGTCGTCGTGAAAAGCATGAATTTGCAAGTTTCCGTCTGAAATGCCAGTTACTAAATTATTTCAGTGATTCTCTTGACATTGTGGAGCCCATGTCGCCGGATCATGAATAATTTGCACTTGATAGCATGTAAACATACTTTTTTTTGATCTTCCAAAAAATGTGACCCACCTTTTAATCATTCTAACCAACCAGGTCTTGTCGCAAATCGGCCGGCCCTTGGCCTACAGTGTGGCTCCCAATTACCCGCAAATGTTTGAAGACGTGTAACTTAGGAAGAGAAATATTTCATTCATGTGATAACAATTAAGGACCGCTTAAAATTGCTTGACTCGACTGCCCTGGACCACTAACCGTGAAGGAATTTTTTGAGCACTTCCGCATTTGTGTGGGGTTTAGCTTTTGTATTGGTTTGTAAGGCGCCAATAACGAATAGGCAAACAAAAAATTGTCCGGTGAGAAATCGGACTATTCTTTCTACTTGACGAACCAGGCGAGCCCCCAATGCTGTTCTCCAAAGTGTCTGCCCCATCTACATAGCGTACCTTTCTGATTTTCTCAGCATGCTCGATAAAAATAAGTTGAACTTTGCCTGTTCTTCAGCTGATGGGAGCAGAAACCACGATACGGCTCACATGACCCCCCCCCCCTCCTCCACTAATTTTCGGTCAAAATTCATCAGAGCATGTTCATGTGTGCTCATTTCGGGCGATGATGAATCAAAAATGCAGTGTGCGTAGTGGTTTTGGTGGTGGTG